ATAAAACAATTAGAAGATTATTTACGTATAGAATTAAATGACAAGATCAAACTTAAAATAAAACTTGAAAATCCACTTGGTATAGCTGAACGAATATTTGATAAATATTTAGCAATTGTTCATGAAAGAAAACAAATTCTTGTTGATGATGAACAAGTAAAATAAAGATAAAAAAGAAAGTTTTTTATTACGATTTCTTATTTTAGGTACTTTTTGTTTTACATAGTGATGTTGATGAATATCGTCGACAAATGTTAGATGATTTTAAACTTCAATTAAATAAAATTGATAATATTTTTTTTCGTATGATTGATAATATGGAAGAATTTTTACTTGAATATATTCAAATTTCACGTCTTATTCCAACATTATTTAGTACAAGTAGTTCATCAGAATTAAAAGTTCAATTTAATAATCGTGTTAATAAAAATATTGAACAAGATATTAATCAATGTATAAGTCATTTATGTGATTGGCTTGTTGAAAGATCAAATCGAACTGTTCATCAACTTAATAAACATCTTAATACGAATTCAATTCATTCACGAAGACAACAACAAATTATTAAATATACGAGTAATAATATGACATCGGGAGTTGATGCAGATTTTTCATTATCCCGTCAACAAATATTGAATCAATTACAAACACAATGTCAAAATGTAAATGAATACTTATTTGTATTTTATTTTTTTTCATAATTCTAACAATATTTTCTTTAAAAAGATTCTTTATAAACAAAAAACAGCAACTGGTGCACAAGCAGATGATCTTTCTGCATCAGTTCGTGCAACAATGTTAGGAACAGCAGCTATTGAAATAGGAGCTGTTGGACTTGGTTTGATTGCTTTCTTTTTCTATTATAATTCATTTCTTTTTTCATATCTTGTTTAATTATAGGTGCTTTAGCTACATTAGCATCATTTGATTGGACTGGTCTTTTAGGTGCTGGTTTAATTGGTATACTTGGTTTATATTTAATACCAATGCGTCGTTTAACCATAAAACAAGAAATGAAAGATCGTATTGATAAAACACATATAGATCTAACTGAACAATTAAAAAAACATTTTTTACATGAATTAGACAATAATGAACGTAAAATGCGTGAATTGATTATGCCTTATACGTGAGTTATTGAAGATCTTTTTGATTGTTTAAATATTATATTATTAACTTATATTCTAGTCGATTTGTACAAGATGAAGAAGAAAAATTAAAGAAAACTACAGAACAAATCGAAACTGTTCGTAAACAAATTAAACAATTAAAATTAGATATTCAAATATTATTATCACAAAAAGAAAAGACAGAATAATACAGCTACTTTTCTTTTATACCTGTGAAATTTATATAGTTCTTTTTTGTGTGTGCATTACAAAAATAAATTCATTCTATTTATTAATCCTTAAATTCGAACTTCGTACGTATGTCTATTTGCAAATGTAAAAATATCATCTTACGATCTGGATAAACATTACAAAATATTATTATCTAGAATCTACTAAAGATGTTTTGTATCCATGAATGTTTTTCATTCACTATTCATTTGATAAGCAAAAAAAAATAAATATCACAATGAATCGACAATTTTTTGTAAGACAAGAAAACTATGTTTTCGATAATATTTGAAATAAAGCTTCTATTTAAATGTTTCATATTGTCAATATGTTAAATGATTGTACTATCTCTGTGCTTTAGATAGAATCCTTTGTAGATGTATAGTTGAAACAACGTAATTCGTACTCTGAAGACTTACTGGATTCTGATCGTACTTCGAATCTTTGTTTTTTTTTCGAAGATGCGCATGATATCTCCGAGTTTCCGTAGCATCACCAAGTTGCAGAGTAATATCTGTTCCTTTCCAGCAAAAAATAAATTGTGTTGTCATTAAAAATCTAGATAAGTATGGAAGTAACTGGCAAAATAGAGCTCTTCGGTTTCTTATTTTTTTTATCGATGTAACAATTCTTTAAATTTGACAAGTCAACATGAATTTTTTATTTTAGAATAATGATGTATTTCTCAATGTATAATAATGAAGAGAATAATAATCAATATAATAAATATAAATATTTTTTTTATTTTAATTTTATTAAATTCTATTACTTTTATTGAAAGAGAAGAATAATAAGAAAAACAAAAAGAGAAAGAAAAGAAATAACAACGAAAAAAAATAAATAATGAAAGAAAAGAAGTATGAACAACGCGAGGTCTTTCGAATCAAATTTTTTTCAAGCGAATAATTGTAAAAAGTATGAATATGATAGAACACTGGTTATATACTCGATCGAAATTATGTACTCATTAATTAACTTAAGTAGACATAAGTGATCAGAAAAAAAGCGTTACTAATTGATTATCTAATCATTAGAAGAAACTATACATATTATAATGATTGTTTTATATCTATTTGTAAAATTAGAACAAATAGTGATTTGCATGACACTATTCTCTCGAATCTGTAGATCGATTTTTTACTCACTTTCAAAAAACCTTATTTAAAAGATCTCACGTCCAGGATAATATATCTCTTCTGAAGCGGTTATTTCCTTGTTTGCTCGTTATTCATCAGTTTCGCATGCATTACGATGCATTATTATTGAATAATATTCATTTCTACATTGTTAATTATATTGAACTTATTATTGCCGATTGAATGATGTTGGTCGTTGTCGATATTTTGAATGAATTACTATTCAACAGTATAATGATGATATTTTTTTGAAACTTTTATTAATGCATTATTATTTACTGATGGGATGATGTTGATTGCTGATTATTCCCTCAACTGAAGAGAGGATCATACAAAAAAAACAAAAATGTGTTTGTTTCTTTGTGGCAGGTCAAAGGTCAATAAAACATCGGCATAGAACACCTCAAGGGCTATATCATCGAGGTACCCATAGGGCCTCAAGTGCTACTATATAGAGGTGCCCATAGGTCCTCAGCGGCTGCCATATAGAGGTGCCCATAGGTCCTCAGGGGCTACTCTATAGAGATACCCAAAGGTCCCCAGGTCCTATATTCTGAGGGTACCCATAGGTCCTCAGGGGCTACTCTATAGAGATACCCAAAGATCCCTAAGTCCTATATGATGGGGGTATCCGTAGGCCCTCAGAAGCTACTATATAGAGGTACCCATAGATTCCGAAGTTCTATATTATGGAGGTATCCATAGGTCCTCAAGTACTTCATTATAAGGGTACGGATGAGTACTCAATTGCTGTTACGCAACTGGAAATCAGTGGAGAGGTGGCAAACCAGCGAAATGCTTTTCAGCGAAGAAAGTCAGCGAAAAGAAGACAGCGAAAAAAATGAGCGAAAGGTTTTTCAAGCTGAGGATAAAGGTGTAAAGTGGAAGTGAGGGTGCTGATTGAGGCTGTAGAGTGAGGGTGAGGGCGCAAAGTAAGCGTGGGGTGCAGAGTGCGAGTAAAGGCGAAATGTACTTCGGCTAGTATGCATTTCACGCTTTTTTTCGCTGGAAATTTGTTCGCTTAAATGTTCTTCGCTGAATGGACACCATACCGAAATCAGTTGATGTAATGTATGTAGCAGTGGCGTAAGCAAGCGAGTACTGGTGAGAATCAGTCTACTTTCTCGCTAAAAGCTTGCAATCCTATCACCTGATGAAGCTGGTGGAGACAATTTCTAGTGCAAGCCATCGGGGCGTAGGAAATTTCAGAGCCAAAACCTATGATTGTTATGCTGATGGCTACGCTAGTAGTTTGAAATATATATCTTGTAAACAAATTGTCAATCGATGGGATTCGATCGATTGAAATACTGGCGAAAACTGGCGAACAACCGAAAAGTTTTTCTATAAATCAGTTCTGAGAAACAATTTTTCTGCAGGAATAAAACATTTTCAAAGCACATTTGACAGAAAATATCATTTAACGAGTTTGTAGTAACATAGCCTGGGCATTGATATAAAAGTAGATATTTCTTTGTTGAAATTCAAGAGATATGATTGTGAATACCGGGTTGAGTATCACTGTCATACAGAAACCATATCACCTTGCTTGTAGAGCCACACAATGGAGCTGCTAGTCGTGAGTGGTGCTCCGGAGGGGCACCGACGAACCACTAGCCACTCATCGGTATTATTAATAAAACGTATTTAGAGATTAAAATATGTAATGCGAAGTGTAACCATTTATTATGGGTTACACGTTATGCATAAAGTTAGAAATGAATCAAGTAGATTAGAAAGGGACATCATAGAAGAATTATTACTGGACTTCATGCAGGGTGTGGCGTGTGAGTGTGTGGGTGTGGGTGTAGGTATTATATGCTTGCACATCCACACCCACACCCTGTGTACAAGCAATAAACATCCCATTAGATATATTTGATTGAACTGAACGTGAATAATTATATAAAGATATAAATTCATCGATAAGAAGACGCATCATATCTTTAATAAGATTGAGAACAATTTTATTTGAAACTATTGATCGATTTCCTTCAGGTAAATAATCATAAAATGTTTGAGAGGCTTTATTTTCATAGAATTGTCGAGAAGGTGAATCAGGCCATCTAAAATATAAATATATACACAATGGCTACCAAAATTATTCAACTTTTACTCAATAAAAAACCGTCCTAGAGAGTTCAAGTACTAGATACTGAGAAATTAGGCTTTTGGGTTGTCTAAAAAAATCCTAACTTAGGGAATCAAATAATCAATGTTTTTAATTTATATTCTTTTCGTAATATGGTTTGCTCTACTTGAATCATTATTTGAAATTATGATAGATACTGTATATCCATTCATTAAATAGATCAAATAATAGAATTGAATCTTACTTTGTAAATATTAATGAAGCCATATGTCCACCAAGGGAAAAACCATGTAGAATAGCTGATGTTAATTTCATTTTTTGACACCAATAAAGTAGATCTGGTGGTTTTCTTAAACCATAATATGAATTTTCAAGAAGAATTGAACCTATAGGATATTGATTAATTAATGGGACCGCAGTAAATAACCTTCGTCGACTAAAACCTTGATCACGTGATAGAACAAGTTGAAAATGAGCTGTAGCTACTTGAGATGGAACCCATTTAAATAAATAGAACAAAAGAAAAAAGATAATATTAATTAAATGATTAAAATAATTTTAATTACTTACCAAATGTGGTAAATAATTGACAAGTGGTGAACGAAATCGAGCATTTATATAATTTTGATTACCTTTTTGTTTCTTGTTTAATTATTTCAACAGTATTTTCCCGTACATTTTCAGCTGGTACAATTTCTAAACACTCATCTCTTACACCAATTTTTTCACGTCGATAGGTAAAAATTTCTTGTAAATGAAATGGATTTCTCCAACCACGTACAAATGATTGAATTAATATAAAACATCGAAAGAGATTATCGAAATTCATCATTTCAATCGTACTCAAATCTTTAATATCATCTAGAGAATTGTTGGTCTGATCTTCTTTTTCTTTAATCGAACAAAAAACAGGATAATACAATGCTTTAGTATTCTCAATAGTTTTTAAACACACACATACAAAAAAAACTCTTATATGTTCTTTTTATTTTCCTAAATCAATCTCGTTAGTTTACTATGAAAACAAAAAAAACAATATTTTTATTGCATAGCACCAGTAATGTTAAGTAACATTTGAGGACCATGTGGTAAATAGACGCTATTTCTTGATTTTGATAATTGATTTGTAATACCTTCAGCGGCTTCAATTCGTCGAAGTTCGATCAAACCTAACATGAATATTAAAATAAAGTAAGACAAAATAATAAGAGATATTCAAAAATTTACCATCACCAACTTCATCTAAAGCTTTGCCAATCAAATCAGCTGCACGAACATCACCTTCTGCTGCAATAACATTTGCTCGACGACTTTGTTCAGTCTGTTTTTTTTTATCAAAAAAAAAACAAACTCATACAAATTTTATTCTTATTGATTTACTTTTTCGACTAAAAATCGTTGTTTTTCAACATCTTGTTGTGCAACTTGTTTGAATTCAACAGCACTTGTAAATTCAGGTCTAAAACTTAAATGTGTCTAATTTAAAGAAAAAAACTATATAATCAACTGGAGACTCTTTTTTGTTGTATCTTACAATTAAAATATCATTAAGTAATAAACCAAATTGAGCAGCACGTTCTGTTAATAATTCACTAACACGTTGAGAAATAAGTGTACGTTGTGTAATCAATTCAATAGCATCAAATTGAGACTTAGTACAACAGATTTTAAAACTTCATTAATAATCGATGATAAAACACGTTCTTCATAATCTAAACCCAAATTTGCAAAAAATTTTTGGTAAAAGTTCAGCTCTTGGTCGATAAAGAATACGTAATGTTATATTAATTGTTTGTAAATCTAAAATAAAAATAATAAAATGTAATTTATGCATATATCATTTATACGAAGAAAAAATAGCGGAGACTTCTCGTTTTGAGTTTTATGAAGTATCCTAAGATTGGTGAATGATGAGAGTGTAAAGGTGTAAACCGATCAGTTGAGTTGCTATCGATGGCCACAAAATTTTTTAAGATACCTCAGCCATATACATTCATTGATGTTTCAATAGACATCGTATTTACCTTCTTTTTTTCGCGAGCTTACATTTTCCTCATGTTCACCTCTCTCCTGAAGTTGACTGTTTTCTTCTAGCTTTTATACCTTTTATTTCTGTTATTGATGGAACAGATCGTAGTCGTGTACGAATATCAAATATAATTGGTCTATGAAGCCATGAAATCATAAAATGAGTTCCTTCTTCAATAACATCTAGTTTAACACCTTGAAAATGTTCAAAAATAACATCTCGATGACCATCATCAACTAGAATATATTCAAATTTAAAGAAAACAAGGTTTTTTTTAATCTTTTCATATTTATCATTATAAAGCGTACAATTAATCACACCACCAATAATAGCTAAACCAATACCAATTCTTCCTAAAACACCAAATTCTTCTATCGAAATAAAATATTATTAAATAAACGAGATGAAGCCATAGTCTTTTTTTTCTTCTAAAAGAAAAACATGCATAAGTATAATCAAATTAAATTTGTTTAGTTGTTTTGTTTTTATTAGCAAATAGTTTCAAAAAACAAAACGAAACCATATGAGAATTCTTCATATCTCTATCGATAGAAAAAGAAAATGCATCACTATTTAATCTATCTATCTACTACAATAATAAACCAATGTAGTAAAATACATAGAAAATGATTAAATGACAATAAACTTTGAAAACAAAAAAAAAAATACATGCATACTTTTAAATAAACCGAAATTCACTTGAAAAAATATGAGCACCATTTTTTATTTTAGACAAAATAAAAGAAAAACAAAATGTGTATAAAGTTTAGCACCGTTCAGATATTGTTCACCATTGGGTTTTAATGAATTTGATGTATCACTGTTCTTTGCTACTGCAGCAACAATTGCTTCGGGTGCTGGAACAGTCTATAAAGAAATTGTTTATATTATAGAAAAAACAAAATGTTTTTCAATTACTATAATTTGATTTTGTTGGGGAAAAATTGTTGTGGAAATGATGCACCATCAACACGAAAATCTTCAAGATTTTTATAGTTTTTTAAAATTTCTTCAAGTTTTGGATTGATTTTTGGTTTTTGTCGAGAATATTTTAAAAATGTCCAGAATTTTTCTAAACCGTATAGTTGACCTAATAGAAAAATTATTTTTGTTATTGACACTTTTCTTTTTTTTTTGTGTAATCTGTTTTACTACCAGCTTCATGATCACAAAGAGTTTCTTGTTGAAAATCTTCAAATACATGTTGACGAAAATGTTTTTCTATACCAC